AGGCGCAACAAGGGCAACAAAAGATCCATGTTGGTGAAGCATGCAGAATGTTCGCTTCTCTTCTTCCTCCCTGGACTTTCCTATCAATACCATTCTCCTTCATTCATACATGTGTTTGCTACTTTGGTCAAATTTGGTACATTCTTCCACCTTCCTTTGGCGCATATAGACTATATATACAGCATTCTGTATTCTGGCATCATCCAACTGTTTGCTATATGGCGCACTCACCATTTAGGGCGCCACCCCCTGAAAGAAGAGATTTAGAAAGTTTCCCAGACATCTTTCGACCACTCCTCTAACTCGGTGTTATTAAATCTAATATCGCCCTTATTTCTAAACGGGGCTCGCAGAAAGAGGTCGGTAAAGGGAATAGTCAAAGGACCGCCGGCTATATAGCTATCCTGCCTCCGTTTCTTAATGGTAATGATATTGGAGGACTGCCGCTCTCGTAACTCCAGAGTGGCCATATCTTCGAACCGTGATCTTAGTCCGAGATACTTTAATAAAATAAGGACCACCTTTATATCACCAGCAGATCTTTGAATCCACCGTCTTGCGACCCTATCAAGGTCGCTCTGGCTTTGAGATTTCCCCGTTTCTATCCCAGGTGTTGGCCCCTTAGGTGTCCTCCCTGTAGGGAGATTGCGCGGTCGAACGGCATAACTAATCAGCCTGCTTATGCTCGATAGCTGCAGAGCCAACGGGGGTAATATAAGCAGGGGGCCACATGCCCATTGATGCGATTTTGAGGATTATATCCTGCTATTTCTGCGGTCTGCCTCTCTTTCGTCCTCTCCTCTCTCTTCCGTTTATTTTCTGCATGGCGAGCCTTCGCTGCGCCGGCGGGACCTCCCAGTGCCTCTAGATCTTCTCCTCTGATCCCCTGGCTAATTATGGTGTCTTGTTTTCCTATATTTTTTTGCCTTCGACATGGCAGAGCCGAGGACACCACCTTGGTCTATACTCCAAATCCAATTAGATATACCCGAAGAAAAGATAACAAAGGATATATATTGCAAACATACGCCTGCTCTCTGTGACTGTTGTCTCTCGAATAGTAAAGGGATCACCCGGCTTTCTAAAAACTGCCGGCGGTTCTTCGCCTGGCCGTCTGTGACCTCCACATCAACCGTCAAGCTAGACATGTGTCTAGCCTCCCTTCGGCGAGCGTCCTTCTCTGGGGGTGAGTTGCGATTTCTGAGGGTAGTCAGTAGTTAGGCCCGCTACCCCATATTTTCTAACGTATTCCCTAATGTTTTTGGCCGTCTCTGGCGCTTTCTCCGGGTCGATATCTGCCTTTATGTGGTCTGTCATTCTATCGACTTGTATGCGTGTGCAATATTTCTTGTAATATTGGTTGTTTTTGCTGTTGATGTGGTGTATCTTTTTAGGTGGGATATTCTGGGATGTTCTGCACGAAATGATATTCTTGATATTGCCATAAGTAGTCAGTCAGTCACTTTTCGCTCCTTGACTACTACGGCTATTCACTCTATTGTTGCGTATTCACATACCCCAGGAATTCGCCAAACAGTTCAGGAAATGTATATGGTCCTCGCTAGTCATGTTACGAGCGATATTATCATGTCTGAGCAGCTCCGAGTAACCATTCAGCGGTGGCCCTTTTTTCCTCCTCATGGGGTATCTGTATCTCGTAGCAAGCATATACTCCCATACCCACACTAGTTAGTTAACTAGTCAGTATGGTGTCCCGAATAGAAGTTAGTTAACTACAGCTTGACCTAACGAACTGGTTGATAGAGGTCCTTCTCGACACTGACACTCCCCCAGGCCGCCGCGAAGACGCATTACCTGCCGAATAATAAGATACCGAGCTGCTCACCGCATATTTTCTCAGGCCGAGATAAGGATCTGGCTGTCAACGAGAGTTAACTAACTAGTTAACTAGTCATGGTGGGTAACTAACTAGTGACTCATATAACTAGGCAGCACTCAGCCTTGCTGTGAGGCTGAAGCAGCTCCAGTCCCGTCGGCGAGCTCTTGAGGACACCGAGGATTATCAGAAATCGTCATTTAAGCCTGAAGAGGAAATCATCCCGCCTACGGGCGATCGGAGATACCTCAGGGTGACGCATATGAATGGCATATGAAGGACGCAACTCCACTCGATTGGAGACCCCAAAAGATGAGAAGAGTCATACTCAGCCGCATCGATGAGATAACTAACTTGATGGATCCAGAGCAAGACGACCCTGGGAGGAGATATAAACAGCAGCTTCATCCTGTCTCTGCGGTGGTCTTGACTCTTGTCCCCAGCAGGCGACGCTTGAGGGAGCCTCACCTCATTATCGTTGCTCCCCATAACCAATCTCTCATAGTTAAATCTCCCTCCATTCTCTCCTGTTAACTAGTTAACTAGTTAGTCAATAGGCAAGATGGCCGCGGCCGAAGCTGTCTCTGGGTCAGCGTTCGTTCCCAGGGACACGCTGGCCGCCGAGGGTGTCTATGAGATGTTCATTCCTGGCTTCGGCGTCCTGTCCCGTGTCATTTCCACGCTCTTTCACATTGATATATCCCAATATCTCCCCTTCCTGTTCATCGGGGCACTGATAATCGCCGCATCTCGGTACTTCTTTGACGGCGTGTCCAACTTCGTGCACAGTCATTTCATGTCCTCAGTGCAGGTGCATGTCAATGACGAAGTGTACAACTACTTGATGTATTGGGTGTCGAAGCAGAAATTCGTCAGTCGGGCGACAGATATCTTCGCCTCTAGCTCGGTGGAGAGCCAGTATGTGTCGAGATACGACGACGACGAGGATGACGATGATGATGATGACCAGCGGGAGGTTGACGACGACGGAATTAACATGATTGGGAACGAGGAAGACTTCGAGGAATACTGGAAACGGACGAACAGATGGGACAAGATCAAGCCCATCCATTTCACTCCTGCTCTCGGGACGCATTACTTCTGGTATAAGGGACGCTTCCTCACGGTCGACCGGGCCAGAGAGAAGTTAAATACGTGGAATGAGACACTCCGAATTTCTTGTCTGGGGCGGAATACGGCATTTCTACGAGACTTGATACGCGAAGCCCAGCTGAGCTATCTGCACCGGGACGTGAACAAGACAATTATCTATCGGTGGTCGAATTCAGACCCTTCGTCAGGGCCAAGCTGGACCAGATGCATGGCACGACACCCAAGACCGCTTTCAAGTGTCATTCTGGACCAGGAGCAGAAAGATGCCTTCCTGGACGACGTCAAGGACTACCTCCATCCCTTTACGAAGCGCTGGTATACTAACCGTGGCATTCCGTATCGTCGAGGATACCTCTTCAGCGGACCGCCGGGATGTGGAAAGACGAGTCTCTGCTTTGCTGTTGCTGGGCTGCTCGGACTGAAGATCTATGTCGCTAATCTTAGCTCCCCGAATCTGACTGAGGAAGGATTGGCGTCGCTTTTCGCTACCCTTCCTCGCAGATGTATCGTCCTTCTAGAAGACATCGATACCGCTGGGATAACCAAAAGCCGTCTGCAGGCCGGCGCTCCGTCTTCCATTTCCCCTGCTGCACAAAACGCCTCCACGCAGTCTCGGTTGAAAGCCAGCTCTGTCAATTACGACGACGATGATGATAGTGACGGTGAGGGTTTTGGCGAATGCGGCGGACAGACCCCCGCCCCCGTGTTGCTGCAACCAGGCATCTCGCTTTCTTCACTGCTCAACACCATCGATGGAGTCGCATCGAGTGAAGGCCGTATTCTCGTCATGACCACGAACCATGCCGAGAATCTTGACCCTGCACTGCTGAGGCCTGGGCGCGTTGATCTGACGATCGAGTTCAGCAATGCTGACTCACAGACTATAGTGTCCCTGTTCCGAGCTATCTACTCCGAGATCGAAGGGGATTGGGGCGATCCCGTCTCTTCCAGTAAGATGGGCGAGAGCAGGGGAGATGGAGATGTGCTTGCCTGCAAGACCAAGCCTAACGCAGCCACAACAACTCCCCCCAGTGCTCCTACCACTCGCCAACGAATAGGACATGGCCTCTCTGCAGATCAGATACATGATCTCGCCCAGGAGTTTGCCAGGCAAATACCAAACAAGCAGTTCTCCCCCGCCCAGATACAGGGATTCTTGCTATCGCACAAGGCGTCCCCGAGAACGGCGGTCGAACGGGTCGGGGAGTGGGTGGTCAAGAACAGCAAAATCAATTACGATCATGGAAGCGACATGTGAAAGTTGATTGATCATGGAGAGAAGGTCTCGGTTGCTATTGAGAGGCAATATTGAATGGAATAGATCTATGCCTCACGATATGTATATAAATATAGATATCCAATATACTCCATATATCGTCATATCTACATAGAGTATTGAAGTGGATGACAGTAAAAAAGCTCTGCCACGTGCCTTGGATCAAAAAAAAAAAAAAAAAAAAAAAAAAAAAACAAAAGTTATGCTTCTATGCTCTCTATTCGATAGAGCTTCGGCCGCTGCTCCCCAGACCAAAAAAGATAGGCGAATGATAGAAGAGAATAATAATAAATGGCCCGTTCGTTAACTAGTTAGTTAGTTACACAAGCCAGGTTGGGTGGCGGACCCAGATTGTCAGGTCTATGAAGGGGAGTACTTGACCCAATAATAACTAATAATCTAGCTACAGTTTTGAGTCAGACAGGGTATGTATAACTACTTAGCTCGTTTATTACTAACAAGATGTGGATGATCAGCCTATTTTTCTATACAGAAGGCCAATCTCGATGCTTCAAGGGATAATACAAACCCTTTGAAAAGGGGGTAGTTAGCTAACTAGGGCTTGCTCAATCATGTGACGCACACTCCGCGGGCGGGTCCAGAGTTCTTCTTATTCGGGCTTTGGCGCTTGGCCCCTTTCTGTAACTTAACTAACCAGTTAACTCACGACCAGCCATAACTACGTACTTACTTTGCCGCCCCGCGCGTTTAACTGCAAGCTCTTCCATCTCGTTATATTGTCTATTATCATAAGCCCCCCACTCTGAGAACTGCATGCAAGAAGAAGGGAAAAAAAAAAAAACAAAAAAAATGAGCCACCCAGGTCCTAATACAGAGTTCGAATCGGACCGGAAGGCTGAGCTTTTACGAAGGCTTAAGAACTTACTCGACATCCCAGTTCCATCTCCTGCATGGGCGGCCCTATGGCTAGCGGACCTTTCTGTACTGGAAACCACAGTTGAAGATATTTCCTCAAATGATACAGCTCTACGGGGCTTGCGTTCATCGATAGTGCAGGACAATGGGCTCCTTGTTCGACAGTGTAGGGGCTGTTTTCCCTTCCACTGCCATCCTATAACTAGACTTAAAACTAACTCATTTTAAGGGTGCCAAAGGGATCGGAAGGGTTCGGCGACCTCTTCACGCGCGTCTTCCCCTTCCCGTGGGCTTATCCACACAGCAAGCAGTCCGTTACAGCGCTCTACAGTGATAGGACAGGCCGTGCAACGCCAAGAGGATGCTGGGGAGGGTCCTTCTGACCTCCCAGCAGCACCAGAACCTCATACTCCACCCAGACCTACCAAGCGTCAGCGAACTCGCTCGTTTTCTGCTAGAGACAATGTAAGTTTTAATCTCGAGTGTTTCGTTTGGTACAGACTTTGCTAATAATCTCAGTGCTGTGTTCGAGATGGCGATAGATGCATCATTACGAAGCACGCCTACCCTGATGTCGCCCATATTTATCCTTACTCTATGGGTGGTGTCGCTCACGAGAGCCCAAATTCAACTTTCTGGATCCTCCTTCGGTCTTACTGGTCCAACGAACGAGTTGAAAACTGGCGGGCAGCCGTATTCCCACGGGGTACTGAAACTCTTTGTAACCTTCTCTGCCTGAGTCCAAATATGCACCGCTGGCACTCGAAAGGGCTATTTGGTCTGCAACCCGTAGAGATATCCGAGGATAAGAGTCGTTTGACTCTGAAATTCTACTGGCTCCCACAACATCAATTCTCTCGCAACGTTGACCTCTCAGCTCGCCCAAATATCCCTTGTGATCTTAACGGGCTGGAAATGGACTTCAAGGCTTGGAATGCAATCACTGAGCGGAAAATTAGATCTGGTGATGAAATAATCCTAACGACCAGTGACCCACAAAACTTGCCACTCCCTGACTGGGACTTATTGGAACTACAATGGACGCTACAGCGACTAGCTTCCTTGAGCGGTGCTGCAGACATAAACCCTCAGGAATATTCTGATGATGATAGCGATGGTGTTGAGTGGGAAGAGGATTTCAGCTTCGAGGCAGAACAAGATGACCCCTTTACTTATTCTAGAGTGAGATCACCAGATGGAGATGTCGAGCCCTTCTCTCTAGTATCCGAAAAGCAGATGCCGGATGTTATTTCAGCTGAAGCGGCGTTTGCAACGTAAATAGTTAGTTTAGTTAAATTTATTAACTAGCTGTGACATGAAGGTATTCCAAGATGATAGAACCACTTACTGCGCCGTATGGGGAGTGGTTGCGGAGGTGGACGCACTCTCGAGTGTCACACACGATTACTAGCCAGTAGCACCTCGTCAACCTAGACTCTCTCTCTATTCTCGTGGTTTTAAACTTTGATTAGCACTTTAAATGGGTACATGTCAGCCTGGGCTCAAGTTTTGATTAGTGCCGCCCAGGTGTTCATTGTCAAATATGTCTGCAGCTTTCTCCTCACGTTGAGATTATCGGCTCATCGTCGGGGGATCGATCTTCCCCAGACGTGACAAAGCCAGCTCTTCAGGAATGACCGGACCTGTTCTTCGTCCTCCCACGGCGTGGGGAGCTCAGGTAATTCATGAAACCTGTGACTCTCTGGGATGGTATTGTGTCAATGATATAGCGGCTGTCTCTGAAGCTAGTTAGGGGTTTCTTCTCCCCTTTTTTGGCTTAGCGGTTTGATATATCGTTAAGGGGGAGCCAGGAGGTAAGACCGGCAGCAGAAACCAAGGCTCCAAGCACTAGGAGACCTGAGAAACCGGTGGTAGCTCCTGAGGAGTGTTTTTGCCGGTCATTCACACCCGAAGTTATGAAGAGATTCTGTATATCGGGTTAGGGTTTAACTTTATCGATACTCGACCAGAGGTATAAACTTGGCCTTAGGCGGATTGATTCCGTGCTTGAGGTTCGTTACCAGGTGTAGATAGGTCACTACCTTGGGGGTATATAATTACCATGGCAGGGAACGTGAGCTATGATTCAACCTTCGTATATGCGGGCCGAACCTAAATAGCCATTGTGAGGAATTAGACGTGAAAGTATGTAACCCACCATATGTGGAAAAGTCGATTGCTTATTACTAGTATCAGTGTCAACATGTGTGCCAACATATGGCAGCGATCTCTTCTATACCAAGTCTAGAGCTCGGAACAAGCTAAGCTCTTGTCTAGGCACTAGTGTTAACAGAGACAATAGCATGGTGGTAAAGTACATATATAAAGCATCTAAATTGGCCATCCCTGTGCACGATTCTTGCATAAAAGACTAGTGTCAGCGTGAGACTAACTCTGGAACCGGAATTGCAGCCAGACAGCCACTGCACATATGATTCGATGATGGGTGGGTATGGCATACCACGATGTGCCTCGGCGGCGTCTAAACACATTCAAACTGGGCAGCATCGGTGCATGCAGCCGCACCAGTGCACCAACTCTGTTGAGAGTGTTAGAATAGGAAACGCGGATGGCGAAGACGGACATCTTATAGCTTACCTGCCGGGTTTGGTTCAAGGTGAAGTAATACATGCGATCTCACGCTATATGCCCTGAGGACCATTAAGGGGAAGGTGTTGGATTCCGTGGTCCTTATAGAAAGCCCTTCGAAGCCTGCTTCACGAGAGTGTCCTATAGAGGGAAACGGCCTATTGACTGAGGACGAGCAAATAGCATTCAAGTTGGAACACACTGGTCGGCTTGGACAATTTCCGTATGTGAAGGCTATTCCCTGCCGCCCACTATATAGCACGTAGAGTGCGAAAATCTTTGCTGTATTTGATAGAGACAGGAACCTGACAAGCTATCCAGCCTTCACTATCCGGTTGACCGATCGTTAGTTGGTGATGTATACATAGCAAGTGGAAGTCGACATACCAGATATGAAAAAGCCCTTTCCGTTCACCATGCTGTCTCAAGGCAGCGAGGCGGAGGTTAGACATAACACCGCAAAAGGAGGCGAAACCATTTGTTAGGGTATTATCCACCATTGATATATAGCCATACAAATGCATGCTGATAAGAAGAAGGGAAAAAATAAACATAGAGAGAATGTGAAAAAGAGAGAGTTTAGTATTGTCAAGACAGCGGAGGCGTGTACGTCGAAGTAAAGGGCCACCCAAGTAAGGGCAGATGCAGCCGCAAGCACATGGCTAGCTGGTTCAGCGTAAGAGTGAGAATTACCGGGCTGCGACCTAGGGAAGTAGGAGTTGCAAGCCATGTCTGTGAGCTGGCGAGGAAGTAGAGCACAAATCCTCCAAGTTTTTTTGCCATGGGCTGCACAGACAGCTGAAATTAACTTGTTCTTGCGTAAGTTAAATGTTCTTAGCCGAAATCAGCCCAGTTTCTGTTATTGCTTGGGCCTACCATTGTGCGATCATGTATACCCATTTCGCCATCTGAGACCTGGATCGTGGATGATAAGGCCAGATCACTAGGGTTCGTCTGAGGCTCGTTGTTATCTAGGTCCATGTACCCGTCAATAATTGGGAGATATTGCCCAAATACAGCGTCCCATTGGTCCCAATCAAAGTTGACATTCGGCTCGAATGCACTTGGATGTGGTGGCTGTTGTTGGGGCTGGGGCGGTGGCTGTGGCCGCTGCTGTTGTTGTTGCTGTGGAGATGCCTGCTGCGTCTGTTGTGATAGTTGCGGACGCTGTTGTGGTATTGCCTGCAGAGGAATATCAGCTAATGCCGGCTGAGAAGTTTCTATTTTGAGTCCAATGGGCGGTGCCATATTGGCTCGGTCACCAGCCAGAGCAACAAATTTCGCGGAGTTTGGGTTAAGGTAGCCGCGCGCATCTCCTTGGCCAAGCGCCGGGATTTGGTTTAATGGTCCTGAAGGGTTCTGGTATACCGGCTGGGAGGGCCAGAGGAACGCGTTCGATGACGGCTGTGGGGTTGTAGCATTACCTACAACAGGGATTGTGCAGGTGGGACTGGGGATCTGTTGCTGTTGTTGGGGCAAAGTTGCGAACGTGATAGGCTGTTTGTCCCTTGCACGGCTCGACTCCGCTGATGCCTGTCGAATATGCCTGTGGTCATCGTACGAATTCTTGATCATCGCATAGTAACTATCTGCAAAGTTTGTCGTGGGGGATGCACTCTGATCCTTGAGGCTTCTCTCCGGATTGCGAGTAGAAGTCGTTGATACGGAAGGGCTTCTGACAGGTGCAACACCTGCCTGCACCTGAGCTTGTTCAGTCCAAAGCAATTGTGGGTCAAGCCCGGCCTTTAACCACGCCTTCTCGCGAAGTCTTCGCATCATATCCCAGGCTTCTCGCCCGCCATCGTTCAATGGCCTTGAAGTCGTGACCCCATCTTCGCCTCCTACAACTCCACCATCCGGACCGGACAGGGAGAATATCTTATCAATAAAAGCCCTAGACTTGGGTGCCTCTGAGCTTGTAGGCCGTTCATATAAATCGATAAGCATTATCCTAGAGAAAAAAAAATATCAGTATATAATAAGGTTGTTTACAAGTCCAGTGGTACTTACATCGTTGCATGCATCGGTTGGTGATTTCTGCTGCATATCAGATTATGTTCAATGATAAATGGGTGATACTCTATACTTACCCTGGCCAACTCCATTGGAAAGGCTGGAAATCTGGGTCCGTCGCAAGGAGGATAAATTTTTCCATAAAACCATGACAATGACGTAGTGCACTATAGTATAGTTTAGTGTGATTCAATCACATCACTTAATTGATGTTAATGGAACATACCATTGCCTTGCGGCTGGCCATATCTTGCTTTTAGCATTCTTCAGGAAAGGCTGGTAAGCCACGCAGAAAGCTTTATGAACAAACAAAGACAGTAATATCTTTGCCCATTTGTGGAATGCAGTTAACACTGGAGTGTGATATTGCTCACCACACCCAGGTCCACCGTTAGGGAGGTCGGGCTTGATACATCGGGTCGTATCGGAATTGGCACTTGGGCGTTTAGGGTTGGAAATTCGATCAACGAGCGCATGAAGTTTAAATTGAAGGTCTACAAGGACTGATTTGAGATCTTCCATATCCTTTCTCGTGACAGGTCTAGTTCCCAGTTGTATCTTCAGAATCTTCCGAATGGCACCTAAGTACGGGTTAGTAACCATGCGTTTTATATACCAGGTACAATCATGGGAAGAAAAGGACTTACGGGCCATTATGTATTTTCCTTTGGCAGAGATGTAGTACACGTTAACCATCGAACTCCCGCATATTGATGGATCATCCGGCTTATCGGGACGTCGGTAGCCCTCATCTACCATCCGTTCGTACACTTCAGCCTCTGGCGAAGTGAGCAGTGTGTCTTTAACTTCGCTGGTAAGACGAACGTCCCAATAGTTTTCGTCACTGACGAGAGGTGGAAGGCCACTTGACATAGCAACTACACCATCCATATGAACAATATGCCACCACATCCGTCTGCGCATCTCAGCTTCGCAGTGGGAGATACCAAACTGTGCGGGGTCACGGTGCAAGCCCATGGTTTGAGCTACGCGAAGGGCCAAACTGTGAAGAGGCTGCTGGTCAAAGGTTCTTCTTCCTTGGATAGGATGGTTTGGACAAGGAGGAAGGCAGCCAGGCCGTTGAGGGATGGGCTTCGAGGGAAAGATATGGTCTTTAGCCATCGAGTGACTTCATCGTGGAAAGGTTCGGTTAACGCCGAGCGTGACTCAAGGTTGAACTCGGCATGGATTGTCTTTAGGGAGACGGTGACTGAGCCACCGTACCAGATGGCATAAAGGAGTGGGATAAAAGAAGGTCTAGGATACGGGGCTCCCGGTTGTCTATACATGGCATACCAGTCCCAGAATTCTTCATATGATTTGAGCACATTGGGAGGGTGGAGAACGGGGCTGATAGCTTGGACGCCGGACATGAAAGATTTATATAGGATGTTGCTTTCATGCCTTGTTGGAACGTGATTGAGCATATCTGCCTGTATAGGCTTTATGTGTGAAGAAGGTCCGCCGGCCTTTGGGTAGAGGATTGAATCATGCATGTTACTTTCATGCGTGGCCAGCCACTGTTGGACCTGGCTGTTAGATTCATCCGACTTTTGCACTGGGGATATCGAGGGATCATTGCCACCATTAGAGGGAGCTGGCTGGGGTATAATCGGTGGTTGGGAGCGATTCTGGTTTCGGAGGAGTTGATTTAGCTCATTAATCTCATCCGAGATGTAAGCCCAGTAAGTGGTCCCAACATATCGAGATCTACCACTATCCTCCAGACTCAAGTGTCCCAAATTCAGGGTACCCACAGGGTCAACAAGGTCGGTAGAAAGACCAGCTGGGATTGGGAAATCATCGTTGCTAGCATCGTCGGAATTACGCCTGGGGCTGGACTGGCGCGAGACGGAGGCCGATGATGAGACCGATTTGTTGCGAGCGCGTCCTGACGCACCATCAACAATTCCAGACCTTCCAGCAACATTTGAGCCGGCACTCCCACCTCCCGCGGTGTTTCCTTCAATGCTGTGCGCATCACCTGTACGGCTAAGCCGTTCGATCATGGAGGTAAGCCGATCCAGGCGGGTGGCGATTTCATCGGAGCCAGATTTCTGGTCTCGGAGACGTGCCTGGTAGTTCAGCAGTTCACGGAGGCTCTCCTGCGGAGACGAGAGGTCTAGTTCATCCTTTTCTGCAGGCTTTGACATGTCTCTCTTGCGTTTGACTCTCTGGTGGTTGTCCTCGGCACGATTTCGTTGGGCAGCAGCGGCCGTAGAATCATACATGCACTCGGTGCCTGTCTTGACACAGTTCCCACATACTGGATGGACCTATTGAAGTGCAGAACGGTCAGCTAGTAGTCATCGTTGGATACGTGCGGCAAGCCAGATAGGAAACGAAACAAACCTTGTCACACTTGACCTTGCGCCGCCGACAGGTATGGCACGAGTAGCTCACCCTGGTACGAGTGATCTGTTTCCCACCGAAGCCATGGCTCTTACGCCGAGGGGTCGTCTTGCCAGCAGACGGGCCCGGGGTAGCACCAGAAGCGGAACCAGAAAGATAATTGCGATGGTCTCCCGCGAACTGGCCATTACCTTGAGGTCGTTCGGCGACGGTGCTGCGCTGCTGGGGAATGACGTCGCCCTGAGCCAGCGGCGGCGGGTTCTCGTCCCACAGACTCATTGGCAGGGCAGAGGCGGATAGAGGGCGGGAGAGGTCTTAGTACCACGACATCTGCCACAGAAGCAAGAGCTTTTACTTCTTCGCAGGGAGCGAGAGGGCTGGAGATAGCGTGAGGTCGAAAGTCGAGGTTGAAGTCACAAAAAAACGTTCACGAGGGGATGCGCGCTTATCGCCTGCCGGCGCCGAAGTTAGGCGCGGTGTTGGCTCGTTAAGTTCTCTTAGCGCGGAAACTCCACATTTGCCGGCTTCGAGATGCGTCTGAATTAATAATTGATGGCCGAGTTACAGGCTGACAGTGCGGTCGATGTGACTGGTCATGCTCGTTTTATGCCGATGACGGAGTAATCTACGGCAGCGACATGTCTCAGCTACAGCTAGCGTGCTCGCTAACTAGTTAGTTCGTTACGTTGGCTCTTAATTCGCCATGTGAGCCGTTGGCTGGCGGTTGGTTGTCAGAGTAATCCTTTCTGCAATGGCTGCTCATTTTGGGCCAAGCGTGTGTTAAATGATATGCTAATTTATTGTTTAACCAAGTCTATGCTTTCCCCTTCTTTTTGTCCTTCTTCTTCTTGGGCTCTGGCGGTGCGTTGCCCGGTCCTGACATTCCGGGCACACCAGGCATATTCGGCATTCCAGGCATTCCCGGAAGACCTTGTTGTGCTTGCATCTCCTTCATAGCCTCCTTGAATGGATTATCGCTTACTCCACCGCCGGTCAAAGCAGGGGAATGCAATGGTAAGACTTTGCTGATTTTCCATCCTCGCGGCGTGGCGGGCGGCCCCGGCGGCTTTTCTGGCACAGGCATACCCTGTAACCTCAGTCTGAAGGGAGACTGTTCAGTAGTTGGGTGCGATTGTAGATACTGCGCAACATGAGTATATAAATGATGTTCTACCAGCAATTAGTTGATATCCCGATAACCAGTAAAGATACAGTGAATGAAGGGAAAGGGAAAAAGGAAAGCCAAAAGCCGTACTATTTTTTATACTGGAATGCGCCGGTCGTCCTTCCTCATCTTTCAACATGACACGCACACGCCCGGGATTCGACCAATCCTTGGGGTGCAGTTTATCAGGCTCGAACCCAACGCTCAACCCGAGCAGCTGCGTGGCGTCCAGGATGTCCTTTGCCAACGGGCTCTCCACAGCTAGCTTCCGACTGACTCTCCTACCCTCTGCGCGAGTTCGCGATTTGTCAAAGTAGACGGCGTATAGACACTGGTATGAGCGTGGGATGTCACGGCCCTGAGCGATGGTGGGACGGCGCATCTGCTGCTGCGAGCCAGGGAAGAGAGGCGGAGACGGGGACGAGGAGGCGGCGGCCGGGCGTGCTGGGGGGCGAAGGGGCATTGTGCTGCTACTATTATTTCTGCCGGCAGAGGGGCCCTCCATGTCCTTGTGGTATATGATTGAGTCTTTGGCTGGGTCGAAATCCGACGGGTCCATGTCGTCCGGGTCTGAGTCGGAGACTTCTTCGACTCGCGCGTGAGACATGGTGGAAGGCGGTGCTGTATCGAGTCAGAGAGGGATAAGAAACAGGCAATACTTCGGGTTAGAAGTCAGATGTGGAGGCTGATGGGTGTCGGTGGTTGGTATTATCGTGTATTTTGCGATGGATGATTTTGCCTGTGGAATTTGGAATTTTGGCCTTTCTTGCTTAGAGTGTTTGCATACTTTTGATCTCCCAGTGATTATCGCTATAGCCCAGCCCAATCAACCGAATAATTATCTACACCAGCAGGAACTAAGATAACTGTTCATCGGAAGTGTTATCAGCTAATATTGTCTAGCACGATGCTTCTACTGTTTTGGCTATGGGTGGGTAGTAAAGAATAGAAAACACAACTACAGGTGGTATTACGACAGGACCTTGGTGGGTAAAAGAATTCCCGCCACCGGTCGAGATTCAGAGAGTTTTGAATTATCTGCTGGGAATTTATGCATCTGGGAGAAGCCCCGAGGGGTGGCCAACCCTTTTTTTGAGGGCCATTGTATGTCTGTATGTGGAAAAGGGTGGACAACTAGTGGACAAAAATATAAAATAGATAGAATGTCGATTCTCTAGATTTTCATCTCCTTGAGACCATGCTTCCAGAAGGTGAAGTATGGGGTGATTCCATCTTCGCGGTAGTTGAGGAGGACAATCCTGGAAAGAGGAGAATTATTAGTCCAATGGCACGACTGAAAAGCCCGAAGGCGGCGGGGGATGCAATGCTTACATTCCATCGGGGTTCATAGACTCGCCAGTGTAGGTCTCGTAGTCCTTGAAGTTGGCCAAAATGGTCTTTGCAGCGGCCTGGGCGCCGGTCTGGAACTCCTTGATCTCGTCTTCGCTCTTGCCTGCCTCCTTGAGCTTCGTGACAACACACTTCATGTAACCTGCACGACAGTGTTAGAAAGATGGTATTGAAAGACAGAATCCAAGAGTAGATAATATGATAGAGCATTGACTATGGCGATACCACGAGGAAGGTATCTATCTCTATTTGGTGCGGGGGAGGGAGAAGGTACTCTTGACGGCAGAGGTGTAGGCCTTCTTATCGAACTCAACGGGGCTGAGTCTGAAGGAGTCGGCGACGTCGATGACGGTCGTGCTAGTATCCTCCGTGCCTTCGTCGGCCTCTTCAGCGGAAGGGTTGGCTCCCTCGAGTTCTATGGACAGGAGTTACTCCCCGGTTAGCCACCACACACTTTTGGATACCAAAACACAAAGCGAAGGAGGTGAATAAGGGAGCCGTACGGATGTTGTCAGCGCCCTTGGTGACTCTCTTTGCGTCGACCTCGTAGATGACGCCCTTGTCTTGCATCTTGTAGGCGTCCGAGATGAGCTCGTCATCGGTGATGATATCCTGTCCTGCGTCAGATCCCACGCTGCGCCTAGAGAGACCGCGGGGTCGCTTACCTTGAAGATAATCATGATGGCGGAGAAGACGGCGGTGGGCTGGTTGAAAAAGGTCGAGGAGTTACCGGCGCAAAGAAGCTGGAATCGAAGCAGGCGTTGAAGTCGACGGTGACGCTGAAGCTGAAGAGAGAAGAGGAAGAAGAAGAAGAGCAAAAAAATAAAAATCCCCGCGATGGGCAAGAGGGAGAAACAGTAAAAAAAAAAAAAAGGTAAATTTTTGGAGGGGAAACAAAAAAGCCCTTGCCAAGCCACGAGGCGAACTTAAGCTGACTGTTACGGCATACATATTATCATGTTGATATTGATATAATCAACTATATAATATTAGCTAGGAGGGTCTACGCGATGATGTTATGTGTTATGCTTTAAAGGATCATCTCCAAGGTTGCGACAGCGAGTTGTGTTATCGACTTCTTTTTTCTATCACCTGTGGATGTCAAAGACAAGACTGGGTCGTAATTGGCACCAGTGGAATGCAAGTTGAAACCACTTGACCGTGCTGTTGGAGCATAAGGTCTTCGTTCATGCCTTGGGTGAGCAAGCAGGAAATAAAATGGATGTATCAAAGGATCGGGATGCCACATGCTCAGACATGGTTTTGCGAGTCAGCCTTCTTGGGCACTTTTCTGATATGCATGGATACATGTATGGGATACATGTATGGAGACATAAAAGGGATACCCTGAGTCCGCTGCCCTTCTCCTTGCGCAAGTCCGCAGCGAGTTCATTGGCGGACGTAATTTCTTGGGACCAGCATTTCTCAATGATATGGCCTAGCCGGGTGTTGGCCGTTGAGGGAAAGGTTGTCTCGCAGCGGCCAAGTGTACATGTCCTCTAATCCAGCAACCTTGGCCAGTCTCAATCTCAAACAAACATGACGATGCCGAATTGCCCAATATCATTGCATGGTTGAAAAACCAAGGTCGTCAGAGCCGTTCAGGTCCCAATCGGGAGACACCATCGCTGATTCGCCAAAAATCACCGAGCTTAACGGATAGGCCAGTAATAAGTTGTCCACACGGATATGGGTGACGATGATGCGACGGCATTCAATGGATTCGTGGATTTACGTTAGGGTATGAGCCGTCCATTGTGAACCAAGATAAGCTGTGTCGACTTCTCCGATGGCGTTGAAGGCCGCCGTTCTTCAGCGGCGGCATCTGGATTGCAGGTCTGGATTGCACGGTCGTCCGAGAAAGGAGTGAAGCAGCGTACAATCTCGGGACGGTCACCCAGCCTTGGGCCTGGATATTCGATGTATTCCGAGTGCATGCTGTCGTTGCTCGGCGACTTTGGAAGAGTAGATATAACCAACGACGAGGCCAAGGAGCAGCTTCGGCAGGGCAAAAGACTTCTGAAGCAAAGCTGCCAAAAAGGGACACCGGCTAACCTCTTCGAACTTAGTGATTTGCTTACATACGCAACAACAGGTAAGCGATGTGTAAGCAGACGCTAGACTACTTATAGTTAGACCAGAAATGCTCATCCATGGATGTAATCATGTCACGTGGGTGTTAATTGCTGAGTCATCATAATCTCTTCCTCTTTTGGGGTTCTTAGGGTTAGGGTAAATTCATCATTTTCTCCCAGGCAGCATCCAGCAATCCCAGGGCAGGGATAAGCAGGAGAGCGGGCTCGATTGAAGAACTATCCTGGTTTGTTTTTCGGTATACTCCGTACATTTTGAATTAGATGGCCTTTGGTGATGTTTTGGGAGAGACGGCGTGCTTGGGGAAATGTCTTCCGTAGTTAACTAGTTGATAATAATAAGTGGATGGAGTGAATCATGCAGCATATGATAACTATGGCTGGCCGAGGGCAGAAATGGCTGCTCAACCAGCTCACTACCTAACCACCCTCGCTATTGATATTATCTTCCGTATACTCCGTATGTAATGCATAAGGGAGCCCGTGGGAGCAACGGCTCAGCTGGGATCACAGGCAGGTGGCGTTGCATCCCATCTTCCTCGGCTTGCTTGGGCGGTTCGGCTCCACGTTGACTAGCCGCTCAGGGGCTAACTCATGGTTACCTAGTCAGATACTCCGGACATGGTGGAACGATGAAGCTGGGTCTCATTCCGGAGTAGTTATATAGTTAGGCCGCTGAGGAGAATCGAGGTGGTCAACTCGCCGACGGGCCCTGTGGACTCTCCGCCCCCAGCCCTTAACTAGATCAATCGCTCTCTCCAGGCTCCTCCTTCCGCCGTCATCGCTGTAGTTAAGCAAAACAGCGGACTGTCCCGGCCAGCAGCTTTCCCCGGACTCTTTTTAGTTGCCTGACAGCTCCATCTCCATCTCCATCCTTTTCAACCTGATCTGGTGCAACTCCCCAGCCCTGACTAGTCAACGCTGTTTACCAGAAGGCCGCCCGTCCTGCTGCTGGTGGGCTGTTCTCTCGCTTGCAACCCTAAGTCTTCGTTATCGTTTTATCTAGTTACTGCTCATCTCCTAAGTGCCTGTTAATTATACCAAGCCATGGCTCTCACCGTCCAGGCATCCCCGTTACCCCCAGCGCCTCGCCCCGAAGATATCTTCTCCCCGGCCCAGTGGGAGACTCTTCTTGCGATTGCAGACACCGTCATCCCATCCATTGGGTGCACAGGCACCGCGGACTCCTCTACCACCCATCTCGTCTCCCAGCCCCAGTTTGATGCCCTCGTCTCTTCGCTCCGGCCGGCGGCTGTCGAAGATGAGTCTGAGGCTGCAAAGGCTGCTGTGCAGTACCTGGACGAGAGTGCCTCCTCCATTCCCGGATTCAAGGAGAGCATGTGTCGTACTCTAGCACTGCATGTCCACCAGGAGGGCCTCAGGGGCATCAAAACCATATTGGCGGGACTCAACAACTTTGCGGTCTCGTTTGCGCTTACAGGGTCTCGGACGCCCTTCCAGCACCAGCCTTACCATGTTCGCAGGCAGATTCTGTCTTCGTGGAGGTCCTCCTATCTGCCTCCGCTGCGGGCTGCTCACCGGGCGCTTATCGCCCTCACCAAGAAGTCCTGGGTCGGCTCTAGCCCGTCTCTGCCTCTCGTTCTCGGCTTTCCCAACGTCCCCGTCCATGGAGCCACGTCGGAGAGTTTTCCCTATTCCTTCCTCCAGTTTCCGGCCGGAGATGGACCCGAGATCATCGAGACGGACGTTGTCATTGTTGGCAGCGGGTGTGGTGCCGGCGTGGCTGCGAAGAATCTCGCAGAGGCTGGCCATCGAGTCATCGTGGTAGAGAAGTCTTACTTCTTCCCTAACGACCACTACCCCATGTCCGGCAGTGAAGGTGCTTTCCATTTATTCAGCAACGGTGGAGCAGAGCTGTCGGACGATGGTTCGATAGGCGTCGTCTCTGGCTCGACTTGGGGTGGAGGCGGTACTATCAACTGGTCGGCGTCGCTGCAGACCCAGTCGATGGTACGGGAGGAATGGGCTAACTCTGGCTTGCCTCTATTCACATCTTCTGCCTACCAGACCTCCCTTGACCGAGTCTGTGACTACATGGGTGTCTCCACTGACTTCATCCAGCAAAACCATGGAAACAGCGTGCTGATGGAAGGTGCTCGCAAGCTTGGATACTCTGCCAAAGCCGTACCCCAAAACACAGGCCACCAGAAGCACGCCTGCGGATACTGCGCCTTGGGATGTGCCGCCGGTATCAAACAGGGGCCCGCCGTTACTTTCTTGGCCGATGCAGCAAGAGCTGGAGCTACCTTTATCGAAGGCTTCAAGGCTGAAAAGGTGCTCTTTGGTAGGAAACTGGCCAAGGGCAAAAAGGTTGCCATCGGTGTTCGAGGGACGTGGACTTCTCGGGATGCCTCTGGAGCAACCCATGGTAAACCGGCCATAACCCGAAAGGTCGTCATCAAGGCGAAGAAGGTTGTGGTTTCATGTGGAACGCTTGAGAGTCCCCTGCTGCTTCTCCGTAGCGGACTCAAGAACCCGCAGATAGGCCGCAACCTTCGCCTTCACCCAGGTAAATGTCTCCCATCTCATCTAAAAAAAATACCCTTCTGTTCATTTTTCTAACTATACCACAGTTATCATTATGTCTGCCATGTTCGATCATGAAACTCGGCCATGGGAGGGCTCCATTTTGACATCCCTTGTTAGTGATTTCGAGAACCTCGACGGCCGTGGCCACGGCTCAAAGATCGAGGCAGTCGTCATGCTTCCAAACTTTTTCCTTCCCTTGATGGCATGGGATAATGGGCTCGACTACAAGATCTTCGCCGCCAACGCGCGCCGAATGGCAGGTTTTATCAGTCTGACCCGCGATCGAGACACCGGAAGAGTATACCCTGACCCCAATGACGGAAGATGCCGCATCGAGTATACCCCTTCTGCCTTTGACCGCAAGCACATCCTAGAGGGCATCATCGGCGCCGCAAAAATCGCATACGTCTCCGGTGCCAGAGAGATAAGATCTTCATCGTTAGCTATCCCGACTTTCACCCGTCCGGAGACATCTTCTGATGCAGCGGATGAGGGTGTCAACAATGCTGCATTCCAGGAATGGATCAAGAAACTTCGTACGGGCGTCCCTCTGCCGCCGGAACAGTCTATGTTCGCAAGTGCCCATCAAATGGGTACATGTCGCATGGGGATTTCCCCAAAGACAAGCGTCGTTGACCCTACGGGCATGGTCTGGGGCACTTCCGGCCTTTACGTCGCCGATGCCTCCGTCTTTCCAAGTGCCAGTGGCGTCAACCCCATGATAACCAACATGGCCATCACAGATCTCACAAGCCGTAAACTTGCCTTCATCATGAGCCATGATCCAGAAGCTATCAAGTCGCGGCTGTAAAGCTCGGCATGCGATGCCGCTACTGCTCAGCGGTTCCCCTCTTTCTTCCACCTATAACCAGTTCTTTTTTGAAGGAAGATCACCTCCCTATTTTTCTTGGATGAACCACGATAGGAGGATACATCCGTCATGCTTGGCATACCAGAGCCAATGGAACCCTGTAAACAATCTCTGTGTACGCAATACCTGCGTCTATCCTTAGTAGTTATTCGTTAGTTATACCTAGGCAAATGCACCTTTCTTTTAACTAGTTGTGACGATTCCCATCGGTATCAAACAGCCTTCTTAGTAGATAATAAAGTAGATTTTTATAATATTCGTTTTGAGAATAGAATTATATGCTCTCTATATAGTTAAGTATATTCACTAATATAACTAGTTATAGTATTTTATATACCAGCCGGGGTAGGGTGGCGACCCGTCAACCACCAGCGTGAATTGACACTTCTACGCAGTGTTAGCGACTAGTGATAACTATTATTTTTACCAAATCCAAAACTGACTATCAGGTATCCCTCGTCAAACGTCAAATAGAGCGAACATCCCCTGAATTCGAGAGGCTTCTCCTGTAATAGCGATATTAAAAATAATAAGTGTATCAATCGCCGTATAGTGACTATGCCCTTAATTAATCAACCAATAATTATGCCAAGTCAGCAACCAATTTGATCAGAAGACCCAGATATAATGTCAGATCCTTACATACAAAATAAATATACTACCAAGGCAAACAATATTCACTTCCCTTTCTCCTTACGGCTTTTTTCAGCCCATGTGCGCTCTTCAACTGGGTCAAGTACCCCATTTTCCCCTACGCTCAACAACGTTTCATCCCAGAATATCTCGGCCAGTTCTACGGGGACCCTTGCCATTATATCCGCATAAAACACTTCGCTTAACATCCCATAATCTTCGTCTTCCTCGAAGACACTAATATATCCTACTCGACAGACCTTGTTATCAACTGTACTTTGATCGAGAATAGTAAATGTCCTTTGTGCGAAAGAGAGGTGCCCAGGCCTTAACGCTTTCGTCGCCCACTCTCGGACCTGTTCATCTGTCCAGTTAAGAAAGGGAGATTCAAAATCCACTGGCATTGGCTTGCGGGAGCCGTGAGTGATTGAATCGAGATCGGTTGTTTGGAGAATACATGGAGCCATGCCATAGGCCGGGAGGCCGCCTTCACCAATGACATCTCTTATTACCGCGTACGACTCATCGATAGACTCATCAAGAATCTGGAATGGTAGGCAGGTGAGCTAATAGTAAATATTTAGTAGTTTGTACTCATACATACATCTGAGGGTATTTTGGCGGTACAAAACACAGGATACATTGTTATGCATTCAGAGACTCGGTCTTCAATGTCATTGTAAGTGTGGTCCTCCTCCTGGTGCTGCCTGTCGCTCATGCGCCTTGTAGTTACAGGCATTGTCAAAGATAGAATGTCAATCAATATGATAAACGTTATGTTCTCGATCAATCAAAGCATTCCCTAGCTCTGCCTATATATAATATAGTACACTCCCAATATATATATATATTATTGTTGGAGCTGGCGTTTGGCCAGCGTCTCGGATAACTATAGGATGAGCTGCTTCCGCCACCTGCCGTCACCTCCTTCATCATTTCGCCCAGGCACCATTCGGCCGATCGGTTCCCGTTCCTGTATAGATAAATAGCCGTAGTATAGCAGTCTGTCTAGCTAGCCATCATCATTCATCATTCCTACGCCTATTTATCTGCCTTTCCTGTGCAAGTGAAGGTTTTACCGCCGCTGCTCCAACGCGGCCATTGATGCCGCTCCCATTGGTATATATGCGTATTGTTGTTGGTTCGGTGGCGCCATACTCCCTGATAGCTTCTGTGGCAGATTCGTTAATGCGGGCATGTGGGGGTGTCCACCATGGCGGCACTACATGCGGCTGGCGTTTCTCAAGCCGATCGAGCTGCAGCTTAAACTTGCGTTCTAGGATATCTGAAAACCGGTTGAGAGGGCTTTTATTGTCACTGGGTGCTGCCATGTCATCGTGCAGCGGTGACGTTCTGGTACGCATTGTAGCCTCTGGGGTAGTCTACTCGAGCTGCTGCTATAGTTACTGGAATCAGGTGTGCTTCCACATCCGCGGCTGCTCCGGCGATTGTTTGGAATGCTCCTGTGATGATTTGGGCTGCGCGCCTCTGAATCCTTTTGATGGCGCTTATCATGCTGCTGCCACGACTTGTGTGACCAGTACCAGGGATATGCCATGCAGAACAACCATATGGCATCTGGGGTATGATCATTGCTCTATACACCCTCCGGAGATTTACTGCCCCCGTTCCCCACGTTGAGGACACTAGGTGATAGGATATGGCGATGAAAGGGTTACACCAGGGTTCTTGGATTGCTAAGATATCGTATTCCAGGATCCTAGGGTTTTGAAATAGACAGGCGAGGATGACGTTCCTTGATTTCTGGACGTTGTACTGTAAGATTCGTAGTTCCCGGTGTCTTATCATAGGCACAGGCCTGCATCGGGGCTATTTGTTGGGGATCGGCTCCTGATTGCTCGATTCCTTGGTATACGGCGCAAGGAGCAGCTACGGGTTCTGTGCAAACGGGGCGTCCATTCGGGGGTGGGAGCGCCCCATCTTGTTTTCTGGAGGCGCACCCTCAGGTTTCTTTGAATGTATTCTAACCTAACTCTTAGATGCCTGCGCAGCGCCCGAGGCCACCGGGAAGTCTTTGCCACAATATATGCATATCTTCATTCAATGGGCGATTGTTAGATCGGCGTGTCGTGCAGGCCAGTTGTCGTATATTTCCTGGTGTTCTGGGCACCTGCATGCCTTGTAAATATTTCCTCGGGCCGTCTGGGTGTTTGTTGCCATGGATGTGGGAGCGGACCCTACTGTTCCAGGGTCGTTTGGCCAGTACACGGTGACGTTCGCTAAGTTGGCCAGCCCTTCATCTGCGTCAGGTATGTCGAATTCCCCGTGCATATCCTCTAGGGCGTATATAGGCTGCTGGGCCGGAGTTGCTTCGGCTGGCGCGGGCTCAGTGGTCTCCACGTCGGTGACATTCTCCGTCACCATAACTGTCTCCTGGGATTGCGTTGTTGCTAGTATTTCTAGGCCGCTCGTAGGCTGCTGTGGTGTGCCTTCTTCTCTTTGTGATGTTGGTATTGCCCATTCCTCTGCAGCAGGAGTATTGGCGTCTGCTTGCGCAGCGACGGGTTCCCTCCCCGCACGGGTTGTCCGGTATTATGATTTGGTTGGAGACGGGATCACGCGGGCGGCGATGTTTCGATTGTGACCTGTTCTCCCTAAGGGGTTCGTCTTTTGCGGTGATCTGCCAGTAGGTGTTCCGGGCGTACGGATACTCCATAACTAGCGTACCAATATTTCGTCGCATACTGATAAGCTAATGGTTAGAAAACACAAAACAGCGTTGTTTGTTAACTATTTTTTATGACCTCATTGGCTCCACTTCTACAGCTAAAATGGTTTTAACTTAAGGTTGTGGACATACAGATCCACCAGTTACCCGAGTATGGAGTAGTAGTCGAGTGATTCAGTTACTCACGTACTAAATAACTAATAATCCGAAACATTCATCGCTGTTTATAAGAGAGAAAGGGTTGTTGTTCATGAACCGGAAGTTCAATATCACGAAGATACGTATTCGTGGAAATATTTTCTTCGAGTCTTATGCCTGTCTGTAGTGGGAAAATAGTGGCTTGACTTTTCAGAGTACATTACATGCAAAGACAGCTTGGCGTTGGCGCAGAAAGAGATAGTATATATAATAGCTGGTACAGGCTAATGATGATTTTGGTTTTGTTGAGATGCGCCGAACTTTGTTGCATGTCTGTTGTGGGCATAGATTTGAAATTCTAAGCCATGTTTAGCTGTAGGACATCTGGCGTGAGCATCCCTTGGGTGTATTAATACAGGGCTGCGTCGTTTGAAATAGAATGGCTGGCATACGCCAGCACTTGGCTTATCAAGACCAGATCTCGAACTACCTGCGAACCTAAAAAGAGACTAGGACGACACCACCAGACAGCCATTAATGCTCGGGCGACTGTTAATGCTTGAACGAGTGCTGGATGCTAGGACGAGTGATGAATGCTCAGACAAGAATACTGCTAGGGCGACTGCTGGATACTAGAATGAACGCTGGATACCCGGATAACTATTGAATACCAGGACGAATGATAGATACTAGATCGACTACTGAATACTGGGACAAGTATCTGGATACTTGAGCGACTGCTAGATGCTAGAACGACTTCCAAATACTAGAATGAGCACTTGATACTCGGGCGACTACACTGAATACTAGGACGAGCTGGACGCACGGGTGAGGTTGAGTGCTGGAAACTAGACCGAGTGGTAAATGCTCGGACGAGCGCTGCATACTCGAGTGTTGTCTGTTTGGGTGAGCTGGCCTGGCGTCCACTAACTAGTTAAGTTAGTTAGTTGGTTAAGCTTGGCACAAGAACAACTGTTGAACCGACTCCTTCCGCCATTGGGATATACGTGGTGAGCTCTGGCCGGTTCACGTATCGTGACCATTTTGTGGATGGGGTACTCCGTACAGATGTGTGGTCACCGTAAAAGTACTGCGACAAGAACAATGCAGATCATGTACCCACAACAGACCATTTTTCAGTACCTCAAAAATAGTCAATCGAGCGCCGAAGGCCAATTTATGAGGCGATGTGCCGATGATCTACAAGAGCGGAAAATAGTTAGTATAATCCATCAGTTAGCTTAACTAGCTTGCCCCACAGCTCAGCTTGTCGCACGGTCATTACCTCCTGGATAAATTGCTGAGCTGAGTTGATTGCCAGCTTTCGAAGAATTCGAGAACCGCACTACTCTGACAGATAGATTAATAATAAACCGATATATCCGTAAAGTTGGTGAAATTAATACCTTATAAAAGAGGATTACTTTATACAAGAGTTTATCGAAACCTTAGACTCGGGTGCCAACTTACTTGATCAACAGCAGCAGGAAGATGTATTTTGAGCTTTAGATTCAGCCAGCCATGCAGATATCGTTGCCAATGTGGACTAATCAGATTCAGCCAGCCATGTAGATATCTGTGCCACTGGGGAGTAAAATCCACAATCTAGTCGTAGTTATGGTTATCACGATTAATCTGAGTGCCGTACCCCTATCTTCATATACGTGCCTGCTCACCGCCCCAAGCTGTGTTATATAAATCTCACGTCCTCCCCTCTACTATTTCCTCTCTATCCTATCTTTTATACTCATTACATCCACTGAAATCGCACGCAATAAAGAAACCATGAAGGTAAAGAATTAATACTTCGCAATAGCGAGAAATGCTGCTAATAGAGTGTGCAGTTCATCTCTGTTGTCGCTCTCCTGGCCCCCGTCGTCCTGGCCGCCCCGCAGGCGATGACTGACCGGGGCTGGATCGGCCTCATCAAGGAAAAGGTGTGGCATGCCAACTACAATTACAATTTTGAACCTCTTTTTGGCAACCTATCTTAGCTAACTAAATATCGCTAATAGTGCCCTGATATACCCAGGCAGTGTCTTGATATTGCGGAAAAGGCCCATGAGCCGCAGTTTGATAAGGCTGAAGCTGAACAAGCTGCAAAATCCCTGCCGACTTGTAACCCATCCTATGAGAAATGTATCCAAGCGATCACCGATGGTATGTGTTCCAGATTCAATTACTCACTCGTACAAGCAACTGGCTAACCGCAGTCCAGATGCTGCTGAGCCAGGAACCACTCGCGGAGATCCCGTTACATGCCTTTTACAAATTGCGCCTGATCATATTAAGTACTTTCTCGACAACGACAAGGCTGATATACCCATTCCGTCTAACCAAAACTGTGCATTGCGAGAGCTGCACCGCGTAACGCACGTTGAACTGGGTCCCTTGGCATAAGAACAATGGCCATTGGAAAGATTGTCAGGGACCTCAAAGCTATAAAGTTGGGAATAAAGTTGGATGATAGCATTGATCTGCATGTTTGGCAGTCTGGAGCTGAAAGCAAGGAAGCAGGTGGTATTATTTTGTCCGGCATTAGTTTGGCTTGCTCGCCGAGCCTTAACTTAACTAATAATAAGTTTAACTTAATTAACTCGTCTCGATGTTTGCGAACTCGTTCCTTAGCGATGCGCCGCATTTTCTTCGCGAACTGACTGTACTTGGCGAGACCTTTCTATCTAATTTCTCTAGTAGCATTTCGACCATCTTTTCAAGATATCACTTAGAATTTTCGGCCAGGTTATCGCATAGATAATTCTTCATTTTTGCGTAAGCTCATCTCTCATATCTTACTGACGATAAGTCAAGGCAGATTCTGTACTGAAGAGTTCGACACATCTCCCAAGCGATAGTTTCATAGTATATAGGCTCCGGACATCAAGGCGTTCTATAACTGGCTGTATAGAAGCTATAAAGACAGTATGAAAGCTCACTCTGTCCTCCACAGCTACTGGCGCCGCCTCAGGATGTTCTACGAGTTTTTCAATAAACGTGCAGTTCATGATACCACAAAGGTAGATGCAATCAACGTATGTTGACAAATTCTTTTTTTTTTTTCTTTTGTGGTATCTATCTAACAGTGAGCGCAGTATATTGAGCATTTAGGGATAGAGATGTGGAAGCTACGCCGGCTAGTTACCGAAACATAAACCTTCCGGCGACAGAGATTACATCCACTATATCCTTTACGCCAACTGGGTACGTTGTAGGAAGACGTATGTGGACAAGAGACAGCGGCTAATAATACTAAGTAACTAGCAAAGAGTGGCTGTGGTGCTGAGGAACTGTGCAATCTCGTCCAGACGGCCAGCAGGAATCTCGACCTTGTCTGTCCCCTTTTCGGAAGAGATAGGGCGTCCCAGGTCTGGAGAGAAGAGCCACGAGTCCCAGTGCAAGAGGAATTCCGGCTTGCCGTCCGCATCGATCCTGGTCGAGGTCGTGACCTGGTACCATCCCAGGTTGTGGCTCACTTTAGTCTCTTCGGCGCTGTCAATGTTTTTACCGTAGTTAAAGCGGATGGTCTTGCGGTTCGTCTCGGTGCCTCCGGTCAAGGGGATGCCCCAGGTAACCGACACGGTGAGCTCCATGTAGGCCTTGTGGAAGTCTGCCCGTTCAACCTGCATGGTCTTGATCTTCTGCGTCAGCGGGACGGTGAGGAAGATGTGCTTCTGCAGCTCAGAGAAGTGGACGGTCCATTCGTTGGTAGATGTCGACCAGCAGCACTTGGTCACCAGGTCCTGGTTGAAGTCGGTTGGGAAGCCATGGGTAACGGAGCCGTACGAGCATCGGCCGCTGTATTTGTCCCGTAGGAAGCTGGCGGGTGCCTGGCCTGCGCCCTCGTTGCAGCAGATTGCGCCGTCCAGGGAGTAGTTGGTCAGGGGCTCGGTGCGCTGGTCCTGGACAAACAGGAAGACGTCCTGGTCCGGCACGTAGCAACAGGCACCAGTGAGTCTGCCAGGGTAGAGGGCTATCGAGGCCGAGTAGCTGTGGTCTTCGTACGAGCAGGTCACTTCCACCGTTCCCTGGTCGCCGCTCATCTGCGCCGTCCCTTTCATCGTCCCAGGGGAGCACGTCTTGCCCGGGTTGAAGACGTGGATGACTTTGGCATCGATGGGCTGCGCTCTTCTACCCAGCGCAAGAGAAAGCCCTGAGGCTAGCAGCCAGAGCACCGCTTGCTTTGCGAGGACCATGTTGAGACTGTTCCTATATCGAGGAATTAGTTATACTACTAGATTTTATATATAGAGGGGGGGGGGCATGTATGGTTGATATCAAGCCATGATGTTCAACAGACCTTTGTATCTGCTAGCTAACCAACATTAACGTTGTCTTCCCTGAGGTAAATGTGGCCGTTTGATAGCCTACCGGGAGTCAGCAGAAAGGATGCCCAAGTAGTTATAGCCATTCATTCCTTCCCGTCTCTTCCGTCTCTTCCATCTTCCATCCGCTAGTCACACTAATATTGTAGATTGTTAACTCGACTGGAGATCGACGCAGCCCCTTTCAATAATTCCCAACCACCACGCGAGGTGCATCCTCTGAATATTGCAACAAGCAGTTATTGCCAGGCAGACGCTGTATACTTCTCCAAGGCCTTTCTTCTCAAATGTGATTGATGTAGTCGGATGCTTGGAAGTTGAAAGTTGGCGGACATGTTGAGAATATGTTGGAGCCGGCGTTTGGCTAGCGTCTCGGATAACGTAGTTCACCAATCAACGAGCACACCCACTTAACAAATACTATTCTAAAATATTACTAAAGTACTAGTACCTACCTATATAAACCGTGGAAAATAATTCGTTTTGAAAAATAGATCAAGTATAGATATATATATTTCTATATATATATTTTTTTAAAGTTAAATTATTAATATTTTAAATATACAAAGTTTTTAATAAATATTTAAAAATTATAATAATTTTATTAATACTTTTTAAATAAATTTATTAAAATAAAAAAAACTTTACTAATATTTTTTAAAGAAATTTATTTTATA